TTTGGAGGATGTCGCAGGCGAAACGGGCCTGACCACCTCTCGCGCGGCATCAGAAAGCGCAGAGTTGCGAGGATGTCTCAGGCGAGACGGGCTGGACCAACTCGCGCAGGGCATCTCAGAGTTCAGTTGCGAGAGTGTCTCAGGCGAAACGGGCCGGACCACCTCTTGCGCGGCATCTCGGAGCCCAGAGTTCTGAGGATGTCTCAGGCGAAATTGGCTGGACCACCTCTTGCGCGGCATCTCATAATTCCGAGTTCCGAGGATGTCGCAAGCGAATCGCGCCGGACCACCTCGCGAACGGCATCTCAGGGCTCAGTGTTTGGAGGATGTCTCAGGCGAAACTGGCCAGACCACCTCTCGCGCGGCATCTGGGAGATCAGAGCTTGGAGGATGTCTCAAGCGAAACGGGCCGGACCACCTTTCGCGCGGCATCTGGGAGCTCAGAGTTTGGAGGATGTCTCAGGCGAAACTGGCCGGGACCACCTCTTGCGCGGCATCTGGGAACTCAGAGTTTGGAGGATGTCTCACGCGAAACGCCCATCCCCGGACAACTCAGAAACGAGAGTTGCGAGGATGTCTCAGGAAGGAGGAGGAGGAGGAGGAGGAGGAGGAGGAGGAGGAGGGGAGAGGAGGGGAGGAGGGGAGGAGGAGGAGGAGAGGAGGAGGAGGAGGAGGAGGAGGAGGAGGAGGAGGAGGGGAGGAGGAGGAGGAGGAGGAGGAGGAGGAGGAGGAGGAGGAGGAGGAGGAGGAGGACGAGGAGGAGGCGCGGCGAGGGGGGGAAGGCGCGGCGGTCCTCGCGGCATCTCTGGCGGGGGGGCGGCCTGCGGCCTCTCGTCGCGAGGGGGGGGCCTCCTCCCGCGAGGGCACCCCCGAAGGACGACGGAGCGGGAGCAGGACGAGGCCCCCAAAGGACCCCGACCTCCCCCGCCCTCCTCGAAGCTGCTCGAAGAGCTCCCCGAAACTCCCCGAACCTCTGCGTCGAACCTCCTCCACGTCGAAGCGGTTGCTCCCTGAGCCTCCCCGGAGCTCCTCGAGCCTCCTGATGCAGCTCCACCTCGGAGCTCCACGAAGCTCCTCGAACGTGCATGAGCCTCTTCGAACTTCCTGGAACCTCCTTGAACTCCTCGCTGGCCCCACCCATCCTGTGGGGGTGGGGAGAAGAAGAAGAAGAAAACAAAAAAATAGCCAGAAGAAGAAGAAGTCATGTGTATGTACACGCGCGTGCAATGTGTGTATGTGCGTCTGCAAAGACCTTCCGCGCCTGCTGTGCACATAATTAGGGCACATGTAAGGTAGTACGCACTGGCAACCGTCAGCGTTCAAACGTATGCTGCCACGTCCATTGACAAATGTGCACTTGCACATTTGCATTACTATGCTACTGCTGGTGTTCAATGCAGTGATCTTTGACGGTGACGCGCTGCTCCCCCTAGTGCCAGCTCAGATCCAAGAAATCCGCGCGGATCTCCCAAAGGTGTATGCTCGTGTAATTCTCAATCATTGGTTCGCCGTGCCCTGACCTCCTTACACACTGAAACAAATGACGACAACAGATATTTGGCCATTTTCGGGGGCGGCCAAGGGGGGGCGTCAAAGAGGGGGGGTGCAAATCATGGCTGGCGGCATGTGCGCGGCCCAGGGGGGGACCCGCGGACGTAATGGAATAAGAAGAGGCGCCATGAAATCTGAGGAAATATCATGGCCCACGCCATGATGTCCACCCCCACCTAATCATCACCCCCCTCTTTGCCGCCCTTGACATCGGGTGCCCTTGCCGGGCCCCGGGACCTTCAGAAAACGGCTCGGGATTGAAAACTGGCCCCACGACCGCGAAGGGTCCAGACCTCTGGGGAGCCGCAGTGCGAACATGCCATGACGTTGGAGGTTCGGGTGAGCCAGAGGTCGGGCAGAAGACCGACTACAGCATCGATGCACCACAAAATCGTTTGTCGCTGAGAATGTTCGTATACCTATTGAGAAGTTGCACGACTCCTCTGATTCGGCGAACATTTCAAGTTGAGGTTAACTCGATGATGCAGTCGATCTTCTACTCGAGAATGCGTCTTGCGGGCACTTGCGGGCAAGGGGCCCTGAAAGGTTCTCCGCCCTCGGCCTCCCCGGGCCCTTCCCCAGGCCCCGGAGCTGTCCAGAAAAAGGACTCGGGATATGAGAAAGCGGTCGAGAGGGCCCCTCCGCGGCCCCGTTCAGTAAGGCTGCTGACAGAAGGAACGCTAGAGGAATAACGAGGCCTCCTTCTGGCCCCCCACAGCGCCTGCGTGCACGAGGAAGGCAAGAGGAACAGCCATGGAAGGACCCAAGGAACATCGAGCCCCTTCCGAGGCCAAAGTGTCCCTTATTTCGGCGTCTTGGCCGTGCCTGGCCGAGATCGGAGCGTTCCCACCAAAACGGCGATCACTGCATCCCCAGCACGGTGGGTGATAGGCGGCAGAAGCCTCTGACCAAGTCGAAGCATCGGCGACGCATCGGGACGCATCGGCGGTGCATCGGCGAGGTCAGAGGAGCTTCAGGCCTCCCAGGTGGGGTCGGAGGATCGCGCCGCATCGCCGATGCATCGCCGATGCATCGGTGATGCGGCTCGATGTACATCCCGCTGTTCTTCACGCCGACGGTGCCGATGCACCACCGACGTCGCCGACGCATCGCCGATGCATCGCCGATACATCGCTGATACTTCGCCGTGGCCACCCCCCCAGTGCCACACGCCCGAACCAAGCGGTCGCGCAGGCTGCCCCAGTCCGCCCCGCTCGGGACCGCGGCACGGAGCGGCGGGCCGCGAAGTCTGGGTCGAAACTACGACACACATGCACCGGGCGTTCGTAGATAGAGGCCTCCTACGTGGGCGGAGGGCAGCGGCATGGGCACCTCCTCCGATCGTCTTCGAGACCCTCGGCCCCCTAGAGGCCTCATAGACGGGGTCGGGCCAGATGGGGTCGGAAGATCGCGCCGCATCGCAATGCATCGGCCATGCATCGGCGATGCACCAGCGATGCATCGTCGACGTCGGCGATGCACCGGCGCCATCGGCGTGGGGAAACACGGTCTCCACATCGAGCCGCATCGCCGATGCCTCGGCGATGCGGCGCGATCCTCCGACCCCACCTGCTCAGACCCCATCTGGGAGGCCTTGAGAACTCTTCATCGAGCCTACCACACGTGCAGTGGATGCTTGTAGACCTACGAAAATCTTACACATCATACATCGGCTACACGCAGGAGTGACCCTGGGTACGAGTGACCTCTGGTGCGCGGCTTCTTGGCAAGACGACACTGCCGCCTCGCCTTCGGCGCTCGGGGGGCCCCAGCGGGCGCGCAGCAAAGGTCACTCCGGCGAAGGGCCACTCTTTTACGTGCAGCCGAATACAGAGCGCCACCCCGCCCCAAACTAAGCGATCGCGCAGGCTGCGCCGGCCCGCCCCGCTCGGGCACGCAGCACGGAGCGGCGGGCCGCCCCCGGGCAGCCCGGCCCGCTCACAACGGCGAGCCTGCGAGGTCGGCGGGCAGCACCGGCGCGGGCGATGCAGCAGGGCGGAGCCGGGAGGATCCCTGCTGCGGAGCACGGGGAGAGGCCTCCCATAGAGGGTGTCGGAGTAGATGGTGTCGAAGGATCCCGCCGCATTGCCGATGCATCGGCGATGCACGGTGCACCCGCGACGTCGGCGATGCATCGGCGCCGTCGGCGTGGAGAAAATCGGGCTCCGCATCGAGCCGCATTGGCGATGCATCGGCGATGCGGCGCGATCCTCCGACCCCATGTACTCGGACCCCATCTGGGAGGCCTAGAGTTGGGGAGCACGAGGGTAGGCAGGACTGGACTTTGAGGTTTGGGACTTTTGGAGCATCTCCTGGGGAGAGGCCCTCGTCGCCACGGCTCGTCCGCCTCGAGATCCGGGTCGGAATTCGTTTTGGGACGGGTCCAAGGGTGGATTTTGGAGTCTGACCTAAGACGAAGCCAGGACGAGGATAAAATCAGGCGAGGATAAATCGAGAATCTCCGAGATCTGGCGGATCTGGCGGATCTGGAGGACGTCTCGGGCGCCGCGGCCCTCTCAGAGCGTTCCGGGACGCTCTGAGAGCGATCCGACACGCTCTGGAGCAGACTTATCCTCGTCCTGGCCCCGTCCGACGATGCTCGGCAGCAGGTGCAGGCCGCCCGGACTGGAGGGGCCCAGGGAGGCGCAAACAGGTCGACACAAGTTCAAGCACTCCTCGCTCCCCACATCTTTCGGGCATCCTGGATCTCCATGTGCCCCTTCATCGCACAAACCGTGTCCGATATGTTCATGAAAGGCAATGTTGATTTCTGTTGGTGGCTACTTGGGTCAGAGTAGATGGGGTCGCACCGCATCGTCGATGTATCACCGATGCATCGGCGATGCATCGGCGGCGTCGGCGGTGCATCGGCGACGTCGGCGTGGAGGAAATCGGGCTCCACGTCGAGCCGCATCGCCGATGCATCGACGGTGCGGCGGGATTCTCCGATCCCATCCACTCCTTGGTGACGAGAGCGGCACACTGGTCCGGATATTTCTGGGACATGGGCTGACCTCCAGCGTGTGCCGATAGGCACCACGCCGTTCACCCCCTGATCCATTCGCAGAGCGCGAGGTCAACGCCACCAGGCGAGGGCCAGTGGCAGCGATCCACAAGGTCTGGAAGCCCTCGGGCAAAGGGTTGGCCGAAACGGACAGCGGCTGCTGTCGGGCCTTCTGAGAGGCTTTCTGAACCTTCTCCGAAGCACTCCCGCCTTGGGAGAAGGCCTGCCCCTTCTTGCTTCCCCGCTGGAGCCGCCGCCGACCAGCAGCAGAGCGCTGCACGAATTGGACGCCGACTGCTGCTGGGCAGGCAGCACTCGACACTGACAAGCCCGCCCTTCGCCGTTGCAGCCGAGGGCGACTCCTGTCGAAGATGAGCGAGATCGGCCCCATCGTCCGCGTCCGCTTCGTCCCCATTTTTCGTCCCTCTCAGACTGAGCCGCGCGCGTGCAGTGGTCGTCCCGGAAGATGCCGATCAGCTCGCAGGTGTAGGGGTAGTGCGCCCTGGTGGCCGCAAGGGGTGGTCATTGGAATCGAGACAACGACACGAGGTCGGTGCGGACCGGCAGCACCACAATGACTGCGATTTCAAACGGTGGACAGGGAGGGGATGGAAAGGGGGTGCGAGGAAGGTAAGATCGGTGAGCGGTGGAAGAGAGAAAGCAGGAGGCATGGGCAAAGAAGGCGTCCGGCCCCATTGCGCGAAACAAAAGGCGACACAGTGGAAACACAGTCCGACTGGAAGCGCGGAGAGGATCCACCATCGTGCTGCAGGCACGGAACAGAATGTCCCCGGGCCCCCTCACTGTTCGAAGTGCCCAGACCCCCCCCCAGCTGCCGGACCTTCCGGGCTCGCCGCGTGCTCTCTGGGGCTCCTCGCGCGACCGTGCTGCCCGAGGCACGGGGCCCCGAGGCGGCACAGTAAGTGGGCTCCCGGGGGAGCCGGGGCCGAGACGGGAGCGGCGCTGCTCCGGACGGCTTCTGCGGCAAGCGTCTCTCAGTGGAGCCGTGCCTCGGCCTCCATGCCCACTCGAGCACCGCTCGCGCTGCCCCCCCAGGACAGTCCACCGCTCGGGTGGAGGACGGCGAGGAGGGGGAGGAGGGGGATGGGTCCCAAAGAAGGCCCCAGAACGGACCAAGTGGGCCCCGAGGCGGCCCAGGAGGGCCCCAAGACGGCCCAAGAGGCCCCCGAGACGCCCTCAAGAGGACCCAAGAGGCCAAGATCATTGACTTTCCTGTATTCCTGCGGTGCTCGAAAATTTGTAGCGGTTTCGGCCCAGAACCTCCAGGAATCCTTGGAAAACCAGGCTGGCCGAAACCTCCCAGATCCCACTCAAACCACAGAGCGTCCCGAGAATCCCCCCCCTCATCCGTTGGGGCGCACAGAGACACACCAACACCAAATGTCCTCCTTGGATGCGCACGTCCGACCCGAACATACAGTGCACCCGTCTTGCAGCCTATCGTCTCTGGAGCTCTGTGGCCGGACAGCGCCCGCCACGGCGCACACACCAGAAGATGTCTGGGTGTGCGCGTCGCCCATGGGGGGGGCAACGCACACATAGCAGTCAAGCATTGGCATGTTGGGGCGCCGCCGACCCGTCTCCTCCCAGAAGGCCGGGGGGGAGTACAAAAGGGAGGCAGGGGCAGCGGTTGGGTTTAAAGGAAATAGCTCTGAGCAGCCCCTGGGATAAAGGACACGGTCGAGAGCGGGAGGAGGAAGGGTCGAGGAGGGCCCACTAGAACGCTCCGAAATTTCCCCCAAAAACATCACCTCCCAGAACATTTGCTGAACAGAAAACGATGGCCGTTGCGTCTTGCCACGTGAACACCTACCAGACTTTGGCGATGTGGCCTCAGTGTTGAAGTCAACGGTGAGGTCGAGACGTGGACACCATGACGTAAGGTAGGGACATTAGCTCCTTCCACGAAGGCCACATGGACATACTCAAAACGAGAAACTCCCCATATAGAGGAGCCCAATGCGAGGAACATGAGGCGGTCCTTCCTAAGACAGGACAGTTCATGACGCTCGTGCCAGCTGCAGGCAACAGCAAGCTAACATATGTTATGGGGAACCAGAAAAGTACAGAGCGATGGCGCGAGAAGATTAGCCAAGGAGCGGCGGGAGGTAAGAGAGGAATGGGAGGACAGCGTAGTGGAAGGTCAAAAGTTGGGCGCAAGCCACTGAGAACCTCCCGAAACATATGTCTGAGGAGAGCAGTTATCGTGCTGGGAGGAAGGGGTTGGGAGGACGAAAGGCATGAGCAATAGCATCCGGATGCAATGCACGATACATTCGACCGCCCACGGGTAATGACATCCTCCTTTCTCCCAACCTGAGTATCGTTTAACCGATCCCCATCCCCAGCGGCGTGGCCTGGGCCCCATTGGCCGATTTATCCCTCTAGATGAGGATATAGGTCGTTCCCTTCGGGTTTCGAGGGGTGCATCCCCAACTGGGGTGGCAATTTGGTGGGGGCCTCGAAGGGGATGGGGATGGGGATGGGGATCCGCAAACGATACCGACAACCCCATCCTCCCAACCCGATCACTGTCTTCCTGAATGGCCTCAGAGAAGGGGGGGGGGCCGCATCGTCCTCTGCAGCTCGGCCACGATGCCGACGTCCACCCAGGGCCGCTCGAGCTGGTGCCGGTGCTTGCGCTGGCCGCGGGTGACGGGGCGCTCCCTCCCTCGGCGGTGCAGAGATGGGCCCCGGGGGAGGAGGCCCTAAGGTTAGGTCGGGCATATCCCCCTACAGGCGGATTTGGAGGAAGACATGTAAACAAAAAGTCAAACACATACTCAAAGATAGTGAGACACATTCGGAACGTCGTCCCCAGACTATGTTTTGACTGTTTTTTAATACTCCTCCTGTAGAGGGACAGGCCCGACTTAACCCTAAGGACGAGGGGCCGCAAACTATGCAGGTTCAAACTCGGACCCCTTCCCATCCATAAAACCTCACCCGCAGGACCCCATCTCTGAACAACCGAGCCCACTTTGGCGGCATTCGGTGGCCTTTCGTGGCCACGACAACGACGACGGTGACTCCAGCGACGCCTACGCCGACGAGGACGACCATAACGACGGCGGCAACGGCGGCGGCAGCGACGGCGGAGGCGCCGACAACAACGGTGCCAACAACGGCGTCGACGCCGACGCCAAGGACGACGCCGACGACGACAACGACAACGACGACGACGCCGACGACGACAACAGCAACGACGGCGTCGGCGACGACAACGATCTGGCAAATGAAGTAACGCTTCCGCAATTATCGAGACGAAGCGCGCCCAGGAGCCGTAACACCGAAGAGTTCGAGGTGAGCCACCTGTTTGCTGGCGGAGCTCTGCGCGGATCTCTTGGGTCGACGCCCCCCTCCTTGGCGTGCGGTGCGTGCCCGGGGCGGTACCGGGGGAGCCGCCAGGTGGGGGCCCAGCGCCAGTGCGAAAGATCCGCGCAGAGCTCCGGAAAAAGATGTCTCTGCCGTATGCTCTTCTTCGGGCGACAAGCTGCAGCCTAACCATGGAGGCCACAGCATTCCGTAGCTGACTATCTCGACCCCGCTCCCGGGATCCTGACGTACCATCTCTCCGAGCTGCGTCCAGCCGTGGCGACGCGAGGAATCCCCGAAGGGCGACTGCCGTTGTCTCAACTCGCCCTCCTCTGAGACTACAACTGGAAACGCGACCAAGAAAGTTATCACGTGAGAAATCTGGGGCAGCCTTCCGGAAGCTCCGCCAACCAAACCTGGGCGACTTGCTGCTGTTGACGCTGGAAGAGCGAGCGTGCTCGAGAAACTGGGCCACCTTTCCAGCAGGTCGGTTCAGAAACGACGGCCCGGCTCTTCGGGAGCAGGTTTTTCTGAATCAGATGCTCGACTGCACATCCAAAGGAGGTGGAGGAGACGAGAGGGGGGGGGGGAGAGGAGGGAGGAGGAAAAAGTGGGAGGAGCAGAAGGAGGAGGAGGAGGAGGAGGAAGAGAGGAGGAAGAGGAGGAGGGGGGAGGAGCAGGAGGAGGAGGAGGAGGAGGAGGAGGAGGAGGAGGAGGACAACAGCAGACTGTAGCAGACCGCAGCCAGCTACATCGACAGCAGGCTGCAGCAGCGGCGGCCTGGAAAGCGCGCGGGTCGTCCTCCACCCACCTTGGGCGGCGGGCACGCCCGCGACAAGGGGGCGGACGCCAGACGCGCCCTTCCCCCCTTCCTCACCCCCTTCCTCACCCCCTCCTCACCCAACTCCTCCCGCCTCCTCCTCCTCCTCCTCCAACATCGTGCTCCAGCTTCCCACCCGTCCTCCGACACCCTCCAGCAACATGATCATGCTCCTCCTCCCTCTCCTCTCTCCTCCCTTCTCCCACTCCTACCTCCTCCCTCCTCCCCCCTCCCTCCTTCCTCCTCCCTCCTCCCTCTTCCCTCCTCCTCCCTCCTCCTCCTCCTCCTCCTCCTCCTCCTCCTCCTCCTCCTCCTCCTCCTCCTCCTCCCCTCCTTACGCATCATCCTCCAAATCCTCCTCCTCCTCCTCCTCCTCCTCCTCCTCTTCCGCCTATTCCTGCTTGGCGCCTCCCTTCGATTTGAGGGGCCGGTCGGGTAAAGGAGGACCTGCCTCTTTTCGTCTTCCCTGGCTGCTGGGGATCGGAGTCGGCGCTCCCTCATCGGCACGCAGACTGCTGGAATGCCGTGTCCATCCGACCTCTGGCGGTCCTAGGGGGCGCGTCCCACCACGGCTTCTCATCTGTGATCCTTCGGAGGCTGCCTGATTGCTGCATCTGTTGATGCACATTGGTGCTGCCTCACGCAGTCTCCCCATCCCTCGTCTTTCTTCATCTCTTGTCCGCTTCCTCCGCAGCTTCCCTATCCCCTCTTCCCAATCTTACCTCCTCTGTCCTGCCGCCCTCATCTCTCCTCCGCCTGCCTCCTCATTTTCCTATTCCTCTTCCTCCTTCAATGTCCCCATCCTCCTCTATCCCCCCGCAGTCTCCTCCTATACCCCATGTTCTTAACACGCACGCGCGTATATGTATATACACATATGTAGATAGATGGATCTACAGCTAAGTCCTCCCTTTCACAATACCAGACGTGTGCGTATGGCATGCCGAGTGATTCACGTTGGACTTCCCCACCAAGCATGGTCCTGCAACTTCGAATGTGTAACAACAGCAATTGGAAAGGTGGAGGGGGGCGTTTCAAGAAGGAACGCTCACCTTGGCGCAGCACTTTTGTCGTGAAAGCTTGCAGCTATTATCAGGATAGAACACAAGTCGTGGTACTAAATGCAACTCTCGCCTTAGAACTGCAAATGCTCGTCCTCAGTTTCACAATGAGACGACCGCGTGAGACTTCATGTCATGTGAAAAACAGATGCTTGACAATGCTATGCAGCAGCTGCGAGGGTGGCAGGAGGTTCGTCTCAACATGGGGCTCTCGCTTGATACTTACTCAGAGTGCATTACAACAACAAGTCCCAACTAATTCAAGACATACCCATGTTTGAGCGGCCTGATCTCGCAACGGTAATATCGCTGGACGCCTCGATGAAACGTATGGTCACACATGTTCGCCTGTCTGAGCACTCGATAGAAGGATGCAGCGCAATTATGTTTCCGAACGGGGCTCTCCCCTGAATGGCAGGCCCATGCGGTGCTGGTCTTTCTGGAGGGGGGGGCGGTGTTTGTAGTGAGAAAGACAGCTCGCCAAACTGGATAGGGAGGAGATTTGGGACGGGAGGTCATGTTTCAGCATGTTGGTGCGTACTGGATGTGCTCGGGTCCTCCTCATCATCCTCAGCATTGTTAGCAACAACAACAACATTATCATCGTCAGCGGAAACATCATCACCATCATTCTCATCATCCTCATCAGCATGGTCAGCATAATCACCATCATTACCAGCATCATCATCAGCATCATCATCAGCATCAGCATCAGCATCATCAGTAGTAGCAGCATAATCATTACCATCATCACACGTATCATTCTCCTCACCAGCATCAGCAACTCCTCACCATCATCACAATGATCATCATCCACCTCATCCTCTTCACCACCATCACTAGTCAGCATCATCATCATGATCATCACCATCATCAGCAGCAGCAGCATCATCCACATCATCATCAGCAGCATCATCAACCTACTCGCCAGCAGCATCATCATCATCACACGCATCGTTTCATCAACGGTACCAGCATCACCATCATCAGCAACAGCATAATCATCAACATCCGCAGCATCCTCCCCATCATCAGCATAATCAGCATCACCATCATCCTCATCAGCATCATCATCGTCATCACCACCACCACCATCACCACCATCATGAGCATCATCAGCAGCATCCTCATCATTTTGTCCATCACCATCACCATCGTCAACATCCTCAACATACTCCTCAGTATAATCATCCGTATCATGATCGTCATCCTCATCAGCATCATCAACACCGTCGTCGTCAGCATCATCAGCATAATCAGCATCATCATCATCACCATCACCATCGTCGTCCGAATACAATTATCGACCTAACCTAAGGAACGATAAATAAGGAACGAAGCCCCTTTTCTCAAAGTAAGTCTACGAAGTCCGAAGGAACGGCCGAACCACTTTCTAGCACCAAAAAGGTAGCGGAACGCATGCAAAGCTAAGGAACGACCGAGCCCCTTTCGAAAAGTTGGTGTTCCCTGTTCAAGCCGCTCACTGGAACGCCCATCATCATCATGCGCATCCCTAGCCTCATCATCATCAGCATCATCATGACCATCAAAATGAGCATCACCATCATCAGCAGAAGCATCAGCTGCATTCTCTTCATCCACCTCTGCCTTTTTTCTACCCTAGAACCCCTCCTCCATCGTCGTTATCCCTCCCTCCTCCACATCCTCTTCTCATATTCTTGATCATCTTCCTCCTGCCTCATCCCGCCCTGCCTCCCTCCGCCCTGGCCGTTCTCGCTTTCCGCCTCCTCCTCCTCCTCCTCCTCCTGCTCCTACTCCTCTTCCCTCCTCCTCCTCCTTCCTTTTCCTCCTCATCCTTCGTATCCCACCCCCTCGGACTTTCCTTTCGAACTTATCCTGCGTCTGATCGCTTTCCTCCTACGACACCGCCACCTCACCCCAAACGCATGGTATCCTCTCTTCGTTTTCGTCTTGCGATTATTGTTACTATTAGCATTCGTAGTAGTTGTATTACTATCACTGGTATGTTTATTTCCGCGCTTCTCCACCCTTCCCCCCCTCTCTGAACTCATTCCTCCTTCTCCTCCTCTTCCTCCTCCTCCTCATTATCATCCTCCTCCTCCTCCTCCTCCTCCTCCTCCTCCTCCTCCTCCTCCCCCGCCTCGGCCACCCTCCCCTCTGACCCCCCCCGCCCATATCCAACTCCCCCTTCCGCTCACGGAGCGCTGAAGGGGAAGGCACGGAAGGGGGCAGAACTGGATGGGGGAGCTAGCTCCAAAACCATACCCGGCCAACCCAGCGAGCGCTGGCCGGCTGCAAGCCCCAGACGGTCTTCATTCGATCGCCTCGGGCCGTGCTGACAGAAACCTCGTCGCCAGTCATGCGTGGATCGGTTCGTGGATTGCCGTCACCGATCGGGGGGGTCCCGCTCTTCTCCCCTCATTCCTGCGTTCCCCCGTTCATCGGCCCTCTGTCAAGCCTGAAGACACGACACGATACGAAAACGTTACGACAACGTCGACCCTGCCCTGTCAGCGACGAGGACGACGAGGTGGAGGACGAGGAGGAGAAAGACGAGACAGAGGAAAACGACGATGCACCAACTTAAATTGTCCAGGACCGACCCCATTAGCACGCAGCGAGACGAACATACAATATCACCATGGGCCCGCCCGCGAGCATGATACCAGGATGCCATGCAATACCACAGCGGGAACTCACGCACCTCCACCTCTCACGTGGAGGAAGAACCGAACGTCCCAATTCACGACAACAGTTGGCACTGCCTCTCACCATCGAGAGACTGGGTAACACCGCCAACTAACGTAAATAGGGGGTACCCGAGGAATGGCTCTCTGACATCCTCTGATAAGATGGCGAAATCGAAGAACCGAGTAAACAGCCAACTGGGGCAGGATCACCATCCCAAGACTCTCTGACACCCCAAACAGAGATCGCACCCAGAAGAAAGTGTGAGCACCAGAATAAAACTGCAAACATACCATTACTTCGTCAGGCCGGCCAGTGACAATGCCGTGTAGCAACTCTTCGGGTGATGCCATACACGCCATTAGTTGACAAATAGACACCAGCAACCTCCCGCACCTTCATCCCGACGACGAAGCGACGAAGACGCATGATGGGTGCAAAGCTGCCAAATGCCCACCAGAACAAACTCAAATGCCCCCACTGGGCGGGCGAGAGCCTCTGCTGAACATGTGGACACCGTTGCGCTCGGGCGCCTTTGAGAAAAGCCACATCGCCGCCGCGTTGATGCTGACGCGGGGCGTCAGGGATCCGCGCGCGCGGCCACACGGGAGACGCCGACGAGGTTCGATTCCATCTCCCCACCATTGCGGACGCACTCTTCGAGAAGCTGCATCTCCCGAACTTCAACCCCGTACTCAAAAAAATCGACATACGACCCCAGACATCCGTTGGGCACCCTCTCAGCTAGCAGTCTACTGGCGGGTCTGCATGGAGCCTGCTGCCCAAGCTTAGCCAAAGATCTCATGCCGACCGCGCGCCCCATCGCTAGATTGCCCCCACTCCGCAGCGAAGATATGCAGCCGAAGCACATGGACCGCCTCCACTCGTGCAATCAGATCCGGCACGCCGTTGTTTCTGATGAATTCCGTTCGAGCTAAAGGGCCGCCCAGCAAGGCCCGCGCAACTGGGTCTCGACCACATGCCAACCTTTGCAGCTCCGCGTCAGCTGGATGGTTACATGAATTCGGCTGGTTCACCGTCCTGCCTGCCGCCAGAATAGAAGGGATGTCGCCTGACTTCAGGAGGGCGGAGGATCGGCAAATTCCAATCGTCATCGCCTTCGGGAATTGTGCCACCACTGCTTCATATGCACAGGCATCGGAGTACGTGCGAAGGTCGTGCGGGCCAGGAACAGCCAGCGTGTCGGCCGATCAAGTGGCCGAGATAATCACGCCAAGCCGTAGGAGGGCACAAACAAGAGCACACCGCCAGCGCTGGCTCCGTCACCAGATGTGGATGCTCGAACAGTCGGAACATGTCAAGCGTCCTGATGTGTGCCCCACGCCGAATGTGAGCTGGTCCTTCATGCCTGTGCCGGATGTCCACCTCGAGTTCCGCAACCACCCAGTCGTGCCTCCAATTGCTCCTCGTCTGTGAGCAGGGGACTCGTTAGCTCTTCCCCGACACTCAGGGGAGCAGCGCCAGCTCCTCCTTCAGCCGTCATGCAGCCAGTCACTCCCAGGAGGCGCCTCCAGACACTGCCCTGCTTCCAGAGCGAGCAGATGTGCGCCCTCCTGGGGAATGCCATTCCCAGGCCACGAGCGCTGACACACGTCCGTACGCCTGGGCCGCGCCTGCCTGCTGACCGCGCCCTTGGGGCGGCGGCGCCAGCGCGGCGACGGGGGACTGCCGGTAGCGATCCGTCGCGTCGCGCCCGAAGGGCGCCAGGGGGCTATGGCGGCGCGGGCAGGCCGCCGGGGGCAAAACGGCTGCACGGCCGCCCGCTGCCAAGCCACCGAGGAGCACGACGAGGAGGAGGAGGAGGAGGAGGAGGAGGAGGAGGAGGAGGACGAGGCGGAGGAGGAGGACGAGGGAGGGCGAGCGAGCAGGACGAAGCCGAGCCCCCAGAAACGCCACGCGGCCGTGCCCCCAGAAGCGCCCGCTCCGAGCAGCAGGAGGCCCCGACCCGACACGAAAGCGTTACGACAGATCGGAGCTTGCCCCCCCATTCGAAGAGAAGGAGGAGGACGAGGAGGAGGAGGAGGAGGAGGCGGAGGAGGAAGAGGAGGAAGAGGAGGCGGAGAAGAAGGAGGAAGAGGACGAGGAGTGGGAGGAGGAGGAGGAGGAGGAGGAGGAGGAGGAGAAGGACGAGGAGGAGGAGGAGGAGGAGGAGGAGGAGGAGAAGGACGAGGAGGACGAGGAGTAGATGGATGGGAAGGAGGAGCACGACGAGGAGTACGAGGGAGGAGAATGAGGGAGGGGATGACGACGAGGATGACGAGGCGGAGAAGGAGGACGAGGCGGAGATGGATCGTTCAACATCGATCGATTCTGGGTCGCCGGCGGCGTTCAACCTTGAACGCCCGCGCTGGGGTCGCCGCTGGTCGACACAACGCAAACCTACCGTAATTGTGACCTTTGGCGCGCGGCTTTCTGCGGCCACGGGGGGGCAAGCACAAGCGCGCAGGACGCCACTGCCGCCTCGCGCTCGGCGCTCGGGGAGGCCCAGTGAGCGGGCACCAAAGGTCACTCCGGCGAAGGGTCACGCTTACGTGCAGTCGAACCTGCCTACCAAGCCACCCCAATCGATTTCTGTTGGGCTCATCGATTTCTGATGGGGGGGGCACTCCAGAACATTCAGAAAGCGCGATGGCCCCCGAACACCCCCCAACCCGAAGATTGAGGTGATCTAGACCTTTCGAGTTGGGTGGGGGTAGCTTGGCAAGTAAAGAGGGGTGGGCACGAGTGGGCATCAAAGCTGGCTCAAAATCGAAGGATGCATCACGACCTCATCATTGACTTTTCTCGGTGGCATTCACTCCATGCGTAGCAGCATGCTCCCCCCGACGTCGTTTCGATTTTTGGGGACCTAACAACGGTAGAGGGAAACACATACTGAACACTCCACCTCCCCCCCAAACTCAAAGTTGGCACGCGCGGGAGAGACTGCGGTCGAGGTGCAACTCATCAGACCCACCGCCAACTTTGAACATTGGGGGAAGGGGGAGGCGTTGACAGATGAATGCGGCCGAGAGGCGTTGACCCCTGGAAGCCCTAGAGAGGCCGCAAGCGTGGACGCCATGCTGCCCAGCTCCTCCTCCCTCCTGTGTCCTCCCTCCCTCCTTCTTCCTCCTCCTCCTCCCTCCTGTCTCCTCCCTCCCTCCTTCCCTCCTCCTCCTCCTCCTCCTCCTCCTCCTCCTCTCCTCCTCCTCCTCCTCCTCCCTCCTCCCTCCTCCCCTCCCTCCTCCCTCCCCCTCCTCCCTCCTCCCTCCTCCCTGCTCCTCCCTCCTCCTCCCTCCTCCTCGCTCGCTCCCTCCTGCACTCGCATCCCCCTCCCTCCCTCAGCTCCTTCCTCCCTCCGAGACAGGCACCTTGCCCAGCACAGGTCCCAGTGCCTGCTGGGGAGAGGCCAATCCCTCCATTCGGGCACCTTGTGCCGCTCGTAGCTCCTGAGAGCGCTGACACACACTCGCCCAGCCAGAGACCTTCTCGCACCCACGAGAGGGCGGAACCGCCTGACCCGCGACCGGGGTCCTCGCAGCTAGTCCCCGGACCTACCAGGAGCCCAGACGCGAGGATCCTGCGGGATCCTCCCGACCCCAGCCGGAGAGCTTCTCGCATCCACGAGAGGGCGGAACCGCCCGACCCACGACCAGGGCCCCAACAGCGAGTCCCCGGGCCTACCAGGAGCCCCGACGCGAGGCTCCTGCGGGATCCCCCCGACCCCAGACACCCGTCCAAGAGGCCTGCGCGCGAGCGGGCGGGCGGGGGGCAGCCGGCCGTCCCCCCCCCCCCCCCTCCGAAGCGCGAGGGGGGCCAGGGGGCCTCCAGGAGACACGTAAGGCAAGAAATCTTGCCGAGAGCGATCACTAACGGGGCACGCTCCTCGTCCAGCTCTGAGGGCCCCAGGGTGCCTCAGAGCTCCCGCGGGCCCCCTGGGGCCATCGGGGGACAAGACAGTTCCGTGGACGCCCGCTCGCAGGCGGATTTCTCAGTGGATGCACCACGAGGAAAGCAGCCATACGCCCTGGGGGCATGTAGGACACCGAATTCACATGCATGCGAGCACTGCAGACACGTGCTCGTCCGAGGTCACATGCAAGCTCTGCTCTCGCATCGTGAGAACACCGATTGCGCGGGATCTGGGAGGGGGGGCTAGGAGGAGAAGGCGCGGACTGACCGACATACATTCTACATTCCCCTGGAGCTAGGTCGGGCATGTCCCCTACAGGCGGATTTTGGGCGACAAATTGAAAATTGCCCACCAACCCACCCAAAAAAACAAAAAAATGCTCAAACATAGTAAGAAATCGTTCCCAGACTATGTTTTGATTATATTTGAACATTCCTCCTGTAGAGGGACAGGCCCGACTTAACCCTGGCGACATTACTCGCGCCTCAAGCGGCCGTTCGGGACGATCTGGGCAACCCGGGGACGCTCTCTGCGAGGCGCAGCTGCTGGGACGCATCCCGAGGCTGGAGAATCGCCGAGAGCCGACGCGGACGCCCGAAAACCTCGGACTTTGAAACTTCGCCACCCCTGAGCCTTTATGCTCTCATCTGGTGTGCTCACTGTAGCCCAGCTACCCGTAGCCCTGGCAATCCCACCATCGCCTGAATTGTTGCGTGATAAAGCGACCCCGAACCAACAACAAAGGATGCCTGCCCATGTTGGAAACGAATCAACCATCCCTGTATTTCTCATTATGCCACGTCTACATCGCAGATCGGGAGAGGGCTGGGAATAGGCATGACACTCCTTTACTAGACGGCGAAGCAGTTCATAAACCTAAACTGTCAGAGGTCCGCGCAGAATTCTCGGATCGGCGCTGGACCCCACTAGCGGCGTCTCGGGCGCCACCTCTGGCGCGCTCCGCGCGCCAAGGAGGGGACCCAGAGCCGATCCAAGAAACTCGCGCGGAGCTCCGAAAAGCTAGGCGCATCCAGAAATCCGCGCGGAACTCCCAATATTCAGGCTCATGGCCTCCCTCCTCTTTCGATGAACGAGAACCTTGCCCCGAAGCGTCGCTGGCGCTATCGCCGCGGCCACCTCCCAAACCCTAAGAGGCAACTGGTGGGAGGTCTTCGGCGGAAGGATCAACGAAGATTAAGCCCCACTGGGGGGCCGTCACGCCGCAATAGGCCGCGGATGAAAAGGGATCGAGCTGGATTGAAACGGGATGAAGCCGGACGGAGCTGGACTACGGATCAAACCGGATTTCTCGGACCAGGGCCAAGTCAGAATCTGACCTCCCAGGAGCTGCACCCGGACAAACCGACCTGGAGGTTTGGCTCGGGGCCGGATGTCACTGAGTATCGTTTAACCGATCCCCATCCCCAGCGGCGTGTCCTGGGCCCACTGGCCGATCTACCCCCCTAGATGGGGATATAGGCCGTATCCTTCGGGTTTCGAGGGGTGTATCCCCAACTCAGGGGGTAATTTGGTGGGGGTCTCGAAGGGGATGGGGATGGGGATGGGGATCGGTTAAACGGTACCGAGTCACGCAACGACTGCAGGCCCCGCGTCGGGGCCGGCATCCGCCAGTTCGGCATCCGCTTCACGGCCACGTGGTGCCCTGGCGCGCCGGGCGCGGGGGCCGCGCGGGCGCTCGCCACGGTCTCGTCGGCGCAGGGGGCGCGCGGGACTCGCAGCAGGAGAGGGGGGGGGGGGATCCCTGCCCTCCTCCTCGACCTAGTCCTCCTGCTCCTGCCCCTATTCCCCTCTTCGTCCCTCCTCGCTTCTCCTCCTCCTCCTCCTCCTCCTCCTCCTCCTCCTGCTCCTCCCTCTTGTTGTGCTCTTCCTATTGTTCTTCCTCCTGCTCCTCCGCCTCATCCTCCCTCCTCCCCACCCGCTCGTCCCTCCTTCCTCCCTCGGGGGAGGATGGAGGACCAGAGCAAGACGCAGCAGCGATGCTGCAAGACACGCTCCCGTCCAAAGCCCCCTCCGCATGAGCAGTCCCCAAAAGCACGACTCCACTGCGCGAAGAAGCAACCCGCCCTTGGAGGACGAGCGCCCCTGGGCCGGCAATGCAGACGGGAGTTCCCTTCTCTTCAGAGACTTGGCGGCGCGCACAACGAGGGCAGGGGGAGGGGGGAAGATGTCTTAGAAGGAGGCTGCTTCTTCGAAGGCGCCGGCCCTACATCCATAGACAAGGCCCGCGCCTTCTAGGAAGCGGGGGTGCTTCTAAGGAGCCCCCCCCCTCCCCCTACCCCCCTCTGCGCGTGGCTGAAAGAAGCACCCTTCGATCTGTAAGCAATGCGAAAGAACCATGTTCACCATTTCAAAGGAAAAGGCCTCCGTCTGCGCAGCTGCTGCACACGTGCGGAAGCCCACGGTTCAAAAAGAGCCAGCCTCCATCCATGCAGCTCCTGCGCGCTGCGGCACGTGTGGCCGCACGTTCATGGATCCCTCAGGAGAACCGTATTTAGACCCCCCCCACCCCACTACTCCGTCCTTGTAACCGCTTGGACACTCGAAAACGGATGTGCGCGTCGTGTCCTCTTCCTTATTAAAGCCACCTCTTTGCCGCACCGCCAGGCGTGTCGGTAGGGCGGGCCGGGCGTTTCGCCTGAGACTTCCCCACCATGTATGATCCTCACGCTTGAGATTCGCAACAGTCTCATGGATGGTGGGCGGGCCGTGTTCAAAATGGTGCTCTCGCCTTTCGCCCCGCGCACATATGCTCTCAGAGTTTGCAGCAGCGGCAAGGATGGAGGGCGGGTCCTTCCCAACGT